TATTAAATGTTATTACTAATAAGCAAGTGTGCGTATATATATTATTGCTACTATGAAATTACTACCAGAAAGCAAGTACATATTTCAATATTAGGAGGAAGTCTCTAAAATTATCACTAGTAAAGCAGCAAATATACTTATGATTGCTTACTTATATAAGTACATATATATCTATATGTCTACACACACTTTTATGTAAGGAGGAGAAAATGCCATTTCCTTTGGGAGACACTGGCCAGTTATGGTGGGCTGGCAGTCGCGATGTGCACAGTTCTGCAGCCCCCATCACGGCAGGGAGAAATACATAGGATGGCAATGTGTAAAGGCAAACAAAGTGTAAGGATGTGGCATCCGTCATGTTGAGTATTAATACTAGCCATTGATACTGAACAGTTAGCACCTAATTAAAGACCTGCCAAGAATGCACTCACCTATATTCACACAGTAAAGCAATCACAAATACTAAAATATGCAGTATAATACTTCGGGGCTAATAAATAACCCTGAGAATTAAATTCTGAGGTTGCTGATTTATTGTTAGCTTCAAATAGACCCCAATTCCATTCCTTGTATAGGCTAACTTCTCTTTAAAAGTTAATTTATTTTTATTATTTTTTTTAAATGTTTGATTCATTTGTTCATATTAAGTATCAATCTAATATGAAGCACAAAAATAGATATTTATCTCAAGAATGAGCAAAATCAACCTTTAATGGTGCCTCACACACTTCAGAGACTCCTAAATGATTTTGAAGAATACTTTTTTTTTATTTTTAGTAGAACTGTGTTTCAGCAGAGCTGAAACAGGGATATTTCTGCAAAAAGCTCTGCAACAAATATCCACAAAGGGAATGAGTTTACCTCACTTTTAGCTCATGGAGTCGTAACCGGTTCCAGAGAAAAGACAGTGAAATCTGAGCAGTAATGCACAAATAGATCACATTATTCAAAAGCATTTTGAGATCTGTCCCACTACTCAAGATGTCATCTGTTGCTTCCCAAAGCAATCCATGCTGACCATTCACCTTTGTAAGAAAGCTACATATATTCCCATAACCCATTTATTTTCTTATAAGGACTTAAAAATAAGAAGCTGGGTTCTGCTTCTTACAGCTCAGTGGGTTTTTTTGGGGGGAAGCATTTCTTACTGTATTAAAAAATTCTGTGGTTCACTCATGATCATGCATGATTACAAGTCAATGCTTCATCATCCACAGATGCTCTCCAAGGGTTGGGAGGAAGAGGAGATGAAAATCCCCACGAGGGAGTGACAATGCTGGAAAGGACTGCCTTGGGGTTGGAAAGAGCTCACTGGAGTAATACACAGAAATATTAGTTCAGCTCCCATCAATTTACAGCCTATTTTTCACATGCAGAAAATTGAGCTCTCACTGCCGTACCTTGACAAATTCCTGCCTGATTATGGCAAAGGACTTTGAGATTTGAGATGGAAAGCACAATATTGCACAGATTATTTTTACTACAGTCTTCATGACCCTTTTACTGCGTCAACCATTTCTCCCAGTACACAAGAAGCATATTGATGATGAAATTAAAATACTCATTTAAAAAGTCTGGAGAAGATTTCCCAGCACAATATTGTGGATACAGGCAAGAATACGTAAGATGACGTTCTACAAAAACAAAAGCAAAGCAAACTAATTTCACTTACAGAAGAGGGAGTCAACTTCCAAAAGGCAGAAGTTATTTAGATTTCTATGTAGTTATCCCCACCGTCACCTTTCAATTTCAAGCAGCAGCTATAGAGTTGAGCAGAAAACCATAAGCTTCAGGAAACCCTTGGGCAAGCACAAAATGCTCAAATTCAGTATAGTTTCTGTTTCATGGCAAACCCAAAAAGCCACTGACATTAAGTGAAAGTTTATAGTTAAAATTTCTCAAGACCCAAGATGGGGTAGGGTTTGGATATTAGTCAGACAAAAAGACAAGCAGCATTTGTTCTGATTAATTCAATAAGGATTTTCTATATGAGAACTGCTGAAATTTGGAGGCAGTTACCAGTAATTACTCTTAACTGCTTAGCAATTTAAAAGTGCTTTGTTTATTAAAAAAAAAGAATAATTTAAATGCTCATTTAACATTTGCATTCAAACTAGTTTTATTCCTAATAAAGTTGTTTGAAGCATAGATTGCGGAAAGACACACACAAGACTCTGGATGCGTTTCTTGCTACAAAACCTGATTCTTCCAGAAGCATATAACGTGTCATGATGGCCTTGTTTGTCAGAACAAAACTGAAACTTGCTTTTTGAAAGCTAATGAATATGAATTTCATACACAGTCATTTAAAAGCATTTTCTACCAGTTCTGCTAATGAAGTGTTGTTTTGATTCCAGTGGCTGTTTCTTATTTTGCAAATTTGAATATAAAGTTACTACATGCAGATGAAATGGCTATATAAAATTTATCTTGTTTCTATTTGAAACAATCAGAAGGAACACAAGAACGTGACGATGACGGAAATTATGTTGTTTCAGAAAAGCCTCCCTAAATCAGTTTGAACATGAAAGCAACCTCTGTTCCTGCAAAGCATGGATGAATCTCCTCCTCTAGACCCACAGCATTCTCCAAAGGAAAGGTTTCACTCATAGGAACACAAGCAATGCCCTAGTGAGGCTGTATTTTACATTCTCACCTTGCGACCAAGTGGCAGCTCTCTGCTTAGGTTGCAAAACAGCTCTCGGTTAATCCCAAGTGACCTTCTCGCTACCGAAAGGCAGTGCCTTGGCACAGAGGATGCATTACTATTGCAAACAACAGCTCACGATGACACCATTTCTGTCCCGTGCTAAGCCCAGAGCACAAAGCCCACTGCAGTCTGGTCCACCTCTGCACAAGTAATGCAAGTTAAAGTTACTGGGTTAAAGCAACCAGGTTAAAGTATGCTGCCTTTCCCCACCGTCCCTCCTGGTTTTTAACAGGGTGCCGTGGGGTTGTCCTCGCAGGGTGCCCTGCAAGAATGAGCTGCTCCTTGCTCTCAAGCTTTGCAACCTCTGGACACAGCCAAATACAGTCTCTAAGAGATCTTTAGGAATGAACCGGCCGGTTTGAGAGGTGGTCTGAGCACAGGAAGCCACTTGAGTAACCTTTGCCTTGGTCCACCACCCCGAGCTACAAGGTGGATGGTGTTTTATGGCTCCGAGCCCACCTCTGCTGCTCCTTCTCCCCTTTTCCAAAGCTCTGCAAAGCTTCTGATGCCAGAGCCAAGCAGCTCCCCGGTCCTCCTCAGACAGCTGTATTCTTCTACC